TCATTGATGTTTCTCTCTCTCTGAAATCAATAAAAATATATTTTTAAAAAGTTTTTTCCCCCAGCATGTTTCATTGCCTTTTCTTTCACAAGACAGTTGATCAGGGTAATTATCCATACTGATAGAAATGGAAATGTCCATCTATTTGCTATAGTGGTATTTAACTTGTAGTAGAGAGAGTAAAGAATGTTCCACTTATTTTTCTATAGCACGTTGCACTTTTTCCTCTTGGAGTTAAAATAAAGCAAGAAATACATTTGGTAAAGTCTACCGTTAAGCTCATATTCACTATTGAATACGTGACCACTGTAACAATGTGCGAGGTCCTCATCCAGTCCCTGAGGGATATAGAACACAGACCGAAGCCCTGTTCTTATAGTTTGCCTTCTGGGGCGAAGATGAAGAGAAACAATAAATATTACATGCAAGGTGGCTAATACAATTAGGAGATAGCCACATGATATCTAAGGTAAGATCATTCTGGTAAGGGAAGAACAAGGGCAAACATCTCAAGTCTCAGCGGAGGCATGTGTGACAGCTGAGGGAGTTGGGCGAAGTCTTGGAGGCAAGCAGGTTAGAAATGAAGTGGTGGGAAGTCAATACAGCCTGCAAATTGCTATTAGTATTTTGGGTATTACTCTGAATCAGATAGGATGATATGACATAGTTTAGAAGGGTTATGCTGGGTGTTGTGTGTAGGACAGATTGCTGCAAAGAAGTTGGGAGACCACTCAGTAAACTATTGCAATAATCCGAAATGGAGCTTTAGACCATTGTGGCAGCAGTGAATATGGTAAACAGGAAGGTTCGGAATAAAACTTAAAAACCAAGGTTGATGCCTAGTTTTGGGGCCAGTGCAACTGAATGTCATTTATTGAGGCCACGAACAGGTATGCATGTGTACATCTATATGTAGATATCAAGTCAGCTTTAGACTTCTTAAAGGTACCCTTTCAGGTAGCAGTTCAGGAGAGATGGCTGGGAGGTCAGCAAATGACAGTGGTTAACTGTGTTCTTCAATAGAGCATAAAAATACTCCCATTGTTTGGCCTTGACATTATTTAAATTTGATATGATAAACAAGGAATGGAGATTACACAGAGGCTCAGACAATAAAATGTATAAATGAAAATGTTATTTCATAAAACCATTTCCTAAAATATACGAAAAAATAAAGGCTCAAAATAAAAAGTTCATCTAGAAATAGTGTACAACTTGGAGACAATTATCAGAAGCACTGTTCTAGTTAATTATAAAAAATTCAAAATGAGGCAACAAAGCAAGTACTTATAGGTTAGCAGAAAATAATCTAACTGGTAATTTATAAAGTTGTAAAGAAAACAAATGTTCAACCAACTTCAATCTTTTCTAAAAAATGTAGTTTTGATCTTTTAAGTTCCTCCATTTTATAGAGGGTGGGGGAAGGAGCAGGAGCTGCCATGCTTTTAAATCCCGTTTCCAAACACCTTTACCATTTATTTTTCCCATTACGTTGAAAGGTTTTACCAGCTGCCTTAAGCTAGATTTAATTTCAGTAACACTGCAAACAGCCCTAACATCTTTTTCACTAAAAAAAAAAAAAAAATTGCCTGACATAAAAACCACAGAATGAGGCCAGGATTCAAATCCTTGTTCAACTATCTAACCAACATTTAGCACTTTTGTACCTGGTTACTTTTTCAATATCTAGCCATTTAAATTACTAATATACCCTCCCTCCCCCCCACTCTTAGTTATGAATTTGAATGTCATGTTGTTACTCAGATTAACCTAATTAATAACATGCTAATTGACCATACCTTCTCAATGCCCACCAGCCAAGAGTATGCAAATTAACCCAACAAAGATGGCAGGTTAATTTGCATATGCAGACGAGCAGCCTGGATGGTTGTATCTTGGCCATGGTGATTATGCAGGGGTTTCGCACCACCCATCTCTCCAGGCCTCTGGGCACCATGGTAAGGCAGAAAGGCAGCTCTGGGCCACAGCCACCCCCGAGCCGGCAGCCAGGGGAAGGCCCATTCTTGCATGAACCTTTGTGCATTGGGTCTGTAGTTGTAGTACATTATCTTAAATGTATAAATCAGCCTACATTTGTAATTCAAAGTACAAATTTGTCAATTATATGGAAATGTACTACTTGGGCATAGTCTAAATACTTGTAGCCATGAAATAGCAGTTGTAAAATAACTCTAGGGACAAGGATTACTGCATTATAGAGAGAACTAGGAACAAACTTCAGAATCTGCTTGGCTTAAAACAGGCTACTGGGTGCCACTCCATGGTTTCTCAACCAGTAATAGTCCTGCAGTAGCATCTAGGAAATTTCCATTATAAAGTGGCTCAGTGGATAGAGCTTTGGCCTGTGGAGTTCCAAGTTCGATTCCAGTCAAGGGCATGTACCTTGATTGTGGGCACATACCCAGTAGGGGGTGTGCAGGAGGCAGTTAATTGATGTCTCTCTATCCCTCTCCCTTCTCAGTAAAAAAAAAAAAAAAATCAAAATATGTTTAAAAATTTTTCCCCCCAAATGGTCCAGACTAGGTAGTTTTGCTAGTCAGAGCATTGTCCTGTGCACCAAAAAGTTGCTAGTTTTATCCTGTCAGGGCTCCTGCAGGAGACAACTGACCAATGTCTCTCATATTAATAGAAACATCCTCAGGTGAAGATAGAAAAAATTCCCAGATACTGGCATTACTGGTTTTGGGATCATTTTTTGAGAATCACTATCCTAAATTCTTTATATAAACTATGTTCAAAGCAGAACTTACATTAAAGTGTGAATTTCATGTTAGCTGGAATTACTGAGTAAGACCAAGTGTCTTTAAATAGACTTTAATGGTAACAATTCCTTTAAGCTCAATTAACCTTAGCTATTACAAGTGTTATGCAGATGTTACTAGACAATATTAAGTGACTTGCACTGGGTTCCTCATAAAATAGAAGACAAATTCACCTAAAAGTGTAATCAACAATCATTTTAACAGCTCGTTATGCCAATACAAAACATGGCTAATTTGAGTGACACCCCCCCCCCCCCAAATCACTAATACAGCGTTTAAGTATCTGAAGCGTATTTCAACTAAGCCATTAAAAAAAAAGTGAGTGTTCTCTACCCCTGAGACCTCTAGTTGTAATTCATACTTTAAAAAATTGTGAGTACACCCACACAAGAAAGCAAACTATAATTTTTAAAAAAATATGATTATCACATTGCCAACTTGCCCAGGAAAAAGGAGTCCACTCACAATATAATTTACTATTAGCAAGTCCACTGGACTGTAATTCTCATAGGTTACAGAAACTAATTGTGCATTAAAAGACATAGGAAACTTACAACCAAAATCATCTTTTAATCTGCCAATATTCACGTTGAGTCCTACACATGGCACTAGTAACATGTGGGGATAAAAGGGCCAATTCTTGGATTCTTTTGAAGTTTCCTTGGAGATGATCTCAAGTCCAGTGTCATACACCCAAAAATGTTGTTCATTTCCAGGTATGTGCCTTACTGTTCTCTTAAGCCTGGAGAAGCCTCTATGGCTCATTCCTTTAGAAGTGGCATAGAAGTGTTGTAGAAAGCATCAAGTCATATACAGAGAATTGGACACATCTAATGTTAAACAATCAACGGTGTAAGAAAGTCATCTCTATAAGTACTTAAGAGTTGTCTATGGCTAAAAAGGTCAATTTGAAAGCAAATCAGTGATCCAGCAAGCACAGAGGTGTTTGATGGTTGGCTTTTAAATAATGATATGCCCACTAAAGCTGTGTTTTTGAGACTAGATTCTCAAAAGTAAGTAGTGATTTTGAAAATAGAGCCAAGGAACAGTGTATCTTAGCTTGTAGAGAGCAGTACGTTAACTTTTTTACAATTTGATTCCAAAAGTTTTAAATGACACCTACCCTGGAGTCAGTTTTTAAGAATAAAAATAAAAATCACTCATTGGAAAATTGTTAGATTGATATTTCTCAATGAAATGCTTATTACAGAATTAAAGTCAGAACATGTTCGGAAGGCATGCATTTCACTTCCAGTTTAGAGAACCTTAGTCAATAAATCATGTCCAAACTACATATTAAAATGTTTATAAAAATCAAGCTTTAACATTTATTTTATATCTAGCTTTCCACATCTGTGCAGACAAGGAATAAGATTGCACATAAGTGTAAGCAGTGCAAAAACGTGGAAGTGAAGAAAAGTCACAGACGTGCTAGAAATCCAATACAGATTGTAAGAAAGCAATGGGCAAATCAAAATAACTAGGAAAAGGGAAAAACTATATGGTCAGAATTAGAAAGGGTGAAGAATGATAATGCCCTTGTTGCTACAGAAATTAAATCAGTGGCACACATAGCACTTGTCAAACAAAAAATTATCCAATAGCAATGACTTTTATTCATTCATGTTAAGTCACCTGAAATGATATCTGTTGCATTTAAATGCTCATTAATGTAAATGGCTGAACAAACCCATTTCGATGGATACTCAATATCCCACATAGTTAAGTCACTTCAACATAGCCTCATGACAACTCCCACACCAAACAGTACTTTATTTTGTAAATTTAAACCCATTATTACTCCCATGTTATGGTTTTGTTTTGTTTTTTTAGCTGTCAAGTGTACAAGGTGAAGAAAAAATTTAGTTAGATGGGGGTTGCACCTGGAAAATAAATTTCTTCAATTCCATATACATGTTCAAAACTGCTGGGTCCCCAGTCCATCTATGAACTCCAGGGTTGCCAGTATCATGTGCAGCATACTAAAGCTACACTATCTGAATAGCTTATTAATTCTGCATAAATCAGGTCAATCAATGTGTCAACCTGTAACAGACTGTGCACTTTTAAATGAACATGGCAAAATATTCACTCTTTTGAACTTTACATCATCATTTGATGTCAAACAATGAAGCAAATCCCAACAGTATATACAAAAACAGCTTTGCATTTACAAAAGATTGTTTCCCATACTGATTAATCCAGGCAGCTAACTCATTGGTTTATGCAACTTTATTGAAGAAAAATAAATCAATTACTAGCAGAGCTATTAGTTGATCACTCATCCATTGACAACTTGCATCATTTATTCAGTGCTATATTAAACAGTGTATTGGAAGATAGATTAACTAATAGCTCCAAGCCTCCTAACAATTTAAATGAAAATTACAAAATGTTTGAGACCCTATTTTGGAATACAAAGGGTGTTTGACTTCCAATTTCCATTCTCTGTAGAACAAGAACAGGTCATTCCTTTATTGACATGCATAAAATACATCACATTTTCTGTTCTGCTGATGCTATAAATTCAATACCAATTCTCCAGCCACATCAGTTATGAGCATAAAGTATATCATGTAACCTCAGATCTCTAACAGTGGAAGGCTTAAACAAGAATGGATGCTGCTAGAATAATGCTGTTTCCTTTGATGCGACAACTGAGCCTCCATTTCCCTCCCCCTCAGATGATTTCTTCAGCATGTTAGAGCAGTGAGGAATGGTTTTAGTCTCATAACCAAATTAGAGTGAAGACATTGGCCACATAATACACATGCTCCATTTTTTTTAAAAAATTCTGAATCTTGGGCAACTGTTCTCTTGTAACTACTTTACAGTTTCTAAAAGCAGTTATTGTCCAAAGCTGGAAGAACTTAAGTCTTCTCAGATGAGCATGTGAATGAATGGAGGGAGGTAAACAAAAATAAAATTAAAAAAGATGAGGTCTGATAGGGGAGCAGCCGGATAAGAAAATCAAAAAAGGAACAGTAATTTAAAGTTTATTCCAGCTATAATGCAGGTTATTCTGACTTTAAGGTAGCATCACATGGCATACTTCTGAGTCCATTCCCGAGATATTCTGTTGTACCTGTAAATAAAGAATATATTATTTGAGAAGTTAAAAGAATTAATATGTAAAAGGGAAAGACTTCTATTTTACCTCCAGACTAATCATAAAGTCATCTAATTAATAGCTGTGATTGGAATAAAGCAAACAGGGAGAAATAGTATTGGTATTCAAAGCACTGTGGAAAATAAGGACCTTATGCCTCCAAAACACTAAATGTAGTATTTTAATAAACACAATAAAGTAGCACTGAGACTGGGGAAGCTAACAAAAATCAAAGATCTTTTATCTGCATTACCAAGTGAGCTAATGTTTTCTTAGAAAATCTATAGTTAGTATCCATTCCAACTAATTTTAACGTTTAAAAAATTTTACAGTTCATTGTGGAGTTGTCAGAACAGCCCACATATTCTGTACATCTATAGAAGTTTCCATCAAAGCCAAACAAAAGTTAACTAACCCATTTTATCAGAATCCTAGACTTTGACCCCGAGTAATATCAGACTTAAGCACAGGCAAAAGATTAAGACATTGGAGAGGATGGTAAAAGAGTAGTTTTCAAGAGGCTGGTGTGAATGGAATGTGAGTGGTATGTTTAACACTTGGGTTATTTTCAAATAGTGCAAGTGATTGGAAATAACATCCCACTTGAGACGAGATGAATGGGAATCTCTAGGTAATACTGGAAATAACTTTGCTTAAAAAGTCAACAGGTAATTCACACAAAAGCAAGGTTATTTATGCTGAGGAAGATCACTAATATTGATAAATGCCATCAATTTCTCCATTACACCCATGCCATAGTCTTATATAAGCAACAAAAAATAGAATGATAGCCTTAAGAAATGAATATATGTCAAAGGGCACAGAACTGATAATTAAAGTTTTGAACTTTATTAAGTATTAACTAAGCTTCATTTCAAACCAAGAACTAAACATAGTTCAAGCACTTTTCTCAACTTTAACACATAGAAGTTCTTTATACCAATTCATGGTTACTTTTATTTAAGGATACCCTCTCAAAAAGCCAGCACTTTTAAACAAAGGTTTCACTTAGCATATAGGGAGTCACAAAGTAGAGCTGACACTAATGCATGCATGTCAGTAATGAACATTTAGTTTATAGGCATAGGCTTAATAAAAAGCGTAGGTTTAATTTAAAGTCCTCCCCCACCCCACTTACATTATTGTCTCAGCAAAATCTAAAAACTACATCATGACATTCCATATAGTGTTGGTATGAAGTTTAACATATACCAATCTTAAAATTTAAACACCATGGAGGTTTGAAATATTATTTAAATTTCATTTTTTACTAGTGCTACATAACTACTTTCTCATGCAAAAATACTCTCAAGCAATAACTACTGGGTATTCTTTCAAGCTAAACAGAGATCAAGCAGTTAAAGAACCATTTTCAGAAAACTGCCACATTGGTTACCATTTGTTAGTTAATACAGTGCCTTAAAGCATGCAGCACTCAAGTGCTGGCAGTACCATGAATAAGCGCACCATAGAGTGCAGATCCTCTTACCCTACAACATAGCGTATTTCTCTGTCCACTCTCTTGCTAACCTATTGTACCTAATTGAACAAGTATACTTAGCATTAATTATAATACAAAAGTTATAATAAAGTTGCACATAAAAATAGTTCAAATATTTGAGAAATTTAGACCAAAATTTAAAAATAGTACCAATATTATTTTCAAAACATAACTGTGGTGAAGAATTTGCTTTCTTCCCCAAAAGTTAATAATTAAAGTGGCAAAGTATTGAACATGTTAGAAAACAAAACATTTTAGAGGGGCTATTGTTTACTGCCACACAAACTAAAACCTACTGATGACTATCATCTTACCAGAAATAAGCGTCAAGTCTTCTTGGCATTGCCACAACTTACAGCAGAATATAAATGTAACTCATTAAGAAAAATTGCAAACTACTACATACTTACTTATCTCTGTCTGTTTTATAGATCCGTGCAATCTCTGGCACTAGGGGGTCATCTGGGTTTGGATCACATAGCAGTGAACAAATGGATAAAAGAACTGCAAGAAAACAAATGTGGTTACCCAGCATCGGGATTTGAATTTTAAAGTGCACTTAAAAACATTATCATACCCATTTACATCAATGGATAGATCATCCAGACAGAAAATCAGTGAGAAAACAATGGCCTGAAATGTCACATTTCACCAGATGATCTTAACATATATATTTAACAGTTCATCTAAAAACTGCAGAATACACATTCTTTTTAATTGTACATGGAACATTCTCTAAGACAGGTATACCATAAGCCATAAAACAAATTTCAATTAATTTAAGATTAAAATTTTATAAAGCATCTTTGCTGACTACAACAGTCTGAAACTAGAAATCAAAAGCTATTATAAACCTAAATCTTCAAAAAACTTTTATCAGTTTATATCTTCATCTCAATGAGAAAAATATTTACAGATATTTGCTTCACAGGAGACAAGGCCCTGGTGGGAAGAAAAAAAAAAAAAGCTAAAAATAGAGCTTTGTTGGGTTAACGTTAGTACTGGCTATTAAAATATTGTCAAACTCGAGTTCCAAGGTAGTCAAATAATGCCACTGTTATTTTTTTAAATAGGTGGCATTAGGATTTAAGTCACTAAAATTTCTTAGTACTCTGATGGAGAAAAATGGCTTTAATAAGACTATATTTGGGGAACATCCATACGATACTCTTCTTAGCTATACAGTGTATAATAAATAAAAATCCGTTCTATCCTGTCCTCCCCTAAGAAGTTACACAAAAACTCCTAGCTGCTCCACTGACAATATGTTTTCTTCCCTTGAATTTAGAAGGTGGAGGCCATATACCCAAAAGTACTGACTAAATGAAACAACACCATGGTCTATTACTAAATGAGCTTTCAATACTAACTCTTACCCTTATTCTATTTAACATAGAAGATGTCAAGCATCATAGATCTGTCATTTTAAATGCCTGGAATGTGCCAGACATTGTGCAAGATGTTATGGAATTTTCAGATATAAAAACTTGAAGTGGGTATGACAATCTTAAAATGACGACAAAGAAAATACCATAAAAAACATCAATATATTATCACAGAAAATATAATCTTAAACCCAAGTGCAAGGGAGCAGATATAAAACTCAGCCTGCACTTATAGAAATATATGTTCATTATAATAGTGCATTCCCAGCAATGGCAAAAAAAACTTGGCACCTACTGTACTAGGTACCAGGTGCCTGGTGGGTAAGAGAGCCTAAATTGAAAGAAAATGGAAATTCATCTAAAAAGGTGAAAACAGGTCTTAAAATCAGGTCACACTTGAAAAAATTATGGCAGCTAGTTGTTCTTCTCTTCACCCAAAATAATTCTAGTCAAAAGTTTGAGAAATACTATACTCTCTCTTAAGGAGATTCAAATGCATTGTACAAACATATGAAAAATTTATGATATCCTGTCTTACACCCTGTTTCAGTTTGCATTTACCATACTCATTAAAAACCTAATTTTGTGTACTTAAGAAATGCTAAGCCAATACCAAAAACTGAAAATTACTTGAAGGCAGACTTCCTTCTCATTAAGTAGTTTTGTGGTAGGTGATTTTTATCTGTGGGGTGAAAGTGAAATAAAAAAAGGAGATAAAGATGGAGAGATACTCCATATCTCCATCTGGAATATTCATTCAAAGACCAGACAACATATTAGAGATGTCACATAATAAATCCCTATTAAAGGTAGAAAAGCAGAACTGATCTAGAGAGACTTCCAAGAATTTTCTAATTTTAGACTGTTATTAAGTAGTAACGAACTACCATATTCACATAACACATACCTAATTTTTTTTTAAAAAAAGGGCTTAATAAAGGTTTATCAAAATATTTTTAATCTTAATTAACACAGAACAACAAAATCAAAATTATCTGGTACTGGAAACTCAAAATTTAAAAGCTCTATTAAATTTAGATATGCCATTTTAGTTCAAAGACAAAAAGTAGCAAGTGAGAAGTACAAGTAGCTTAAGATTGAAAAATACTACAGAAATCAATTAAAATAAACTTTGCTTTTATTATTTGAAAACAATGCCCCAACACCCTAACTTGAATTTTACCTTCTTCCCACAAAATCTCTTTAATCAATAATGCTAAAAGAACAAAGATGATGGAATACTCTTACCAAGAAGTCGGAATACTCAGACAAGTAGGTGCAAAACTAAAACTCCTTTAATTATTAGAAAATCAGAGCAGTTTAAGACTATTCTTTTAAAGTAGTTTACCTTTAGAAATAGTTAATGCAGGAGACCACTGTGATCTTAGAATATCGAGACAAATGCTGCCATTACTGTTAATATTTGGATGATAGATTCTTGTTGTAAATGCAACCTAAAATAAGTAAAAAACCTTTAGGCATTTCTCCCAAACAAAAACAAGTATCCTAACTTAGGTAGAGAGAAGACTTTTAGCAAGGCTTAAAATATTGTAATAGTTCTTAGAAATCAAATGGCTAAAACCTAAATTTATATACATAAAAAGACCAAAAATTACAGAAACTGATCTTCATATTCTCATCAAAAATCCTTTAAGAGTCCCTCTTTTTTAAAAAAAATAGAAAATATAACTTTGGGGCAAGAGTAATTACACTGGAATCTCGTTTCTCGAATTAATTGATTCTGTTAGGTTGTTCCAAAACAGAACCCCCCCCCCCCCCCCGTTAGAAATAATGTAAATTGAATATGTCCCAGAGCCTCAAATGATTCCATTTTAACCTTTATTATATATAGTACATATCTATTGTACTGTTAATCTATAAACACTTTAAAAAAAAGAACATGAAATGTCAATGAAAATTTAATGAAAAGGAAACGTGCAATAAGAAACGAAAATTTAACAGTTATAAGCAAAAGCAAAAAGCACAAAAATATTCACAGTATAAATAAATCCTGAGATCTCAACTCATATTTGAATGCACATTCTCTCCTTTGTCATTTGAGAGATGTGTGCGTAATTATACAGGTATCAGTATGAAAGGGTTATCAGGTTGAGAAGTGAATTGTTCAAGATGAGGTTCTCAATGGTACAGTGAATGTTCTGAAGGTTATCTTTGGTCCTACCATGTTGTAAGTATCAAAGAATAACTGCTACCATGTTGTAAGTATCAAAGAGTAACTGAAGGGTATTTTTATTTTAACCCTAAAAAAATAAAGAAATTGCTGATTGTAAACCAAAATTTATAGACCAGCTAATTAAGGTATCGCGTTATAAAAGTATAGATTTGACTTTGCATTTCCACTGTACATAAAATACAGTATACACCTTTGAATATCATAGGTGTTTCATCTAAAGTAAATGTTGAGCCGAAACCGGTTTGGCTCAGTGGTAGAGCATCGGTCTGCGGACTGAAAGGTCCCAGGTTCGATTCCGGTCAAGGGCATGTACCTGAGTTGCGGGCACATCCCCAATAGGGGGTGTGCAAGAGGCAGCTGATCGATGTTTCTCTCTCATCAACGTTTCTAGCTTTCTATCTCTCTCCCTTCCTCTCTGTAAAAAATCAATAAAATATATTTAAAATAAATAAATAAATAAATAAATAAAATAAAGTAAATGTTACGTTGCATCCATAAGATGATGGTGAAGATGGTCCTAGTGAAGTGTCAATGTTCTATATGTATAGCCTCTCCTAAAGTTATCTGCATAGGTTGAATTTATGTCAACTGCTTTGAAAAATAAAGTATATGTTTTTGATACCTGTAAACCAGCCCACCTCTGTGAGTACAATAGGCAACTCTTTTAAGTTTTGAAAGTTATGTATGCAAACTCAATTCCCAAAGTAATTATACTCTGCCTAAAAAGCTAGCAAAATGATAGTTAAATTGCAGCAGTATGTGCACATGGGTCCTGTAACTGAATACAGGAAATCTATTATAAGATAGTAGGGTTAATAACCCAAATCTGTATAAAAATAATAAAGGGGGGGCCCTACATAGCATATTTGAGCCTGACAACATTAAAGATAAGGTGTTCCTTACTTCCATTTACAAAATTCAAATCCAGGTCTAGCTGCTGTTTTTTATTTTTTATTTTTTTAAATATATTTTATTGATTTTACACAGAGAGGAATTGAGAGGGACAGAGAGCTAGAAACGTCGATGAGAGAGAAACATCAACTAGCTGCCTCCTGTATACTCCCCACCAGGGATGCGCCCGCAACCAAGGCACATGCCCCTGACCGGAATCGAACCCGGGACCCTTCAGTCTGCAGGCGGACACTCTATCCACTGAGCCAAACCGGTCCCGGCTCTAGCTGCTGTTTTAACTAAATATTAAGAGCCAGCATTCTTTATCAGTGACTCAATTCAATATATATATATATATTGCCTCAATTATTCTTATCCATTATATATAACATTATGCACAACCCCAATTTCCTTTTATATTTTTTGGGGTGTCATTGGCTAATAAAATTGTATTAAGTTTCAGGTGTACAATACTATATAATACAACATCTATATATTGTATTGTGTATTCACCATTTCAAGTCTCTTTCCATCACCATTTATCCCTCCTATACTCTCTTCTACCTTCCCCCCTCACCCTTTCCTCTGGTAACCTGGTAATCATCTTACTGTTATCTGTGTCTATAAGATTATTATTATTTTTTTGCATAATTTCTTCACCTTTTTTTTTTTTCATCCAGCCAGATACCGCCCCCCCCCCCCCCCGCCACAACTGTCAATCTGTTCTCTATTATTAAAAACACTCTATTCCTCTGAAATAAAATATAAATCTACACTAACAGATTTTGGGGAGGAGGGATACTTGCCTTAGGTGGTTTGAAGGGGTAGTCTGTAGGAAAATGAATTGTCAAAAAGAATACACCACCTTGATATGGGCTGTCATTCTGTGGGGAAAAAAATATGCTTAACTGGTACTTAAAATTATTACTGCTAAATAATCCAAATGTAACAATTCAATTTTCTAAGCATTTCTCTAATAACAAAACAAAATTACCTACTACTTACACTGCAATAAAAGGTTAAATTACATAGAATTCAGCTCATATAAAAGGAAAGACAATCAAAATTACCTATAGAACAATGAACGTTAACTTATTTAAATCCTATTTTACATAAGTCACAAAAGAATTTTTTAAATTATCCAGAAACACAAGTGTTCTAGGTCCTGATTTTCACAAAAGAATATTATACTTAGCAATAGTCAATATGCAATATTATTAAACAAACTGTAATTTGAAAATAAATTCTTACATTTGTAGAATGATAATAATATACACACAAACGGTTTTGTTATCATCCTGGCCACTGGCAAACCAAAATGTTAGCTATTGCAGGTAACATACAACTACCTTCAATATAAGAATAGAAACAAATAGGTTGTTTAAAGATAATTTCATTCCCTAAACTTCTCATTTAACACCATGACAGTTTTTTCTTCAAAAGCATACTGAAGGGGGGATGGGGTGGGGGGGCAATGTTAAAATATGTACACAGATAATAATTTAATAAAAAAATGAAACAAAACAAAAAAACATAAAACAAAAGCATAATGAATTTTCCACAGCAAATCAATACACAAAATTACTAGATTTGAAAAACAATGTGGATTTTCCCCTTACATTTCAACAGAAAACAAATTTTCAAGTTATAGCAGTATTCTTTCTCCTTTGTTGTTTTGCTTATTAGAATTTGATTGTAAATAAATATTATATACAACATTAGTATGAAACTACTTGTTAGGATTTTACATTAATTTAACCAATACTAAGAAAAGATATCATTACTCCCCAGTTTATGGATGAATAAAGAGGGGGTTAAAGAAGAAATTTAAAACCGTCAAGTGTACAAATAATGTATCACAGAACCAAGATTTAAATGCAGATATTATGAAAACCACTGATCAACACCAATCAACAGTGATGACAGAGTCAGCATTTTAAGATAACAGAAAATATGAAATTGCTTAATTGCCCTTGGACAACGATGTATTTAAAAATTTAGAGTGACTAGAGAATGCACATAGTGTTAAAATGAATTTTTCACTATGCCCATTCTGTGTGTTAGGCAAATAAAAAGTGTTATAATTTTGACACTTTAATATAGCTCATTTAACCCCCAGAGCTCTGTAAAATAATTATGTACTAGTTGAATTAATCTAATTCCTTCTATTTAGAAAGTATGTATAAGGGATAGACAGAACAGTTTCTTATCTTGATGGACTTACAGTTTGGTAAAGAGACATGTAATGAGAAATGATACAGATAGGAAAAATGAACAGGGTATACCTGGGGTTTAAAAGAGATCCGTTTACTGATGAAAAATCAAATTCAAGAGAAACCAAGATGGTGGCCTAGGTATACACCTAAACTGCTGCCTCGCACAACAATTTCAAAACTACAACTAAAGACAAAACATCTATCACTCAGAACAACAGGAAAGCTGGCTGAATGGAAGTTCTACAACTAGAAAGAAAGAAAGAAAAGAGCAGTAAAACACGCACAAGGGCTGAAAAGCTGAGGTACTGAGGCACGAGAATCGAGCTGGTGCTAGGCCAATAGATGTGCTGCTTTTTTGCAACCCAAAGAGAGACAAGCTCTCAATTACTCTGAAATCCAATTTCTGGGGAGACATTGGATTGTTGGCCATTGGGTCAGAAAGTGAGTGTTACTTTTTTAGAGGTGCACCCAGCAATTATTGTTTACTGCAGCACAGGACAAGGGGACTTGGAAAGTGGAAACACACAGAAGGCAGACGGGCAGCCATCGCTGTTTACCATGCCCTAGCCTAGTGACACCCTGAGACCCAACCCCTCACAATCTACAAACACACCCAAGCTCCCTGCAGCGACATTTGCATATAAATGACATGCCCTATACCAGCTTAACCAAATGAACTGCAGCTCCAATCAGATAGCTCCAAAACCTCCGAACTCCAAGCAAAGAGGAGAAAACTGTATTTCCCACTGTAGCTCCTGCTGGGTGGCCTCAGACAGTAGCTGACCTGCACACCATTGAAGATCCAGAAGCTAGTGTATCTAGTGGCCTGTGTGAGACGACATCAGATTTCAACTACTCACATCCATAATTGACACATTCAAGAGGCAGACTCAGTGAGCACCAAAGCCCCACTGGAAGAAGTCCTGCCTATTAAGTGTGTCTCCAGCACAGCAATTCTTCCATTATAGACACGGCGGATCCTTACAGCCAAATGGCCTGAAGGTCAATTCCCCCGTGTGACACCAACAACAATCAAGGCTTAACTACAACAAGGTTGTACACACAGTCCACAAAGGGGTGCACCAAGAGTGTCCACCTCAGGTAACTGGGAGGCTGATCTATTGGACACCTAGCACACAAATCCACCCTACCAACTCAGGGAAGCAGTGAAAATGAGGAGACAAGGAAACAGATCACAAATGAAAAAAACGGAAGAGGTCAAAACCGGTTTGGCTCAGTGGATAGAGCATCGGCCTGCGGACTGAAAGGTCCCGGGTTCAATTCCAGTCAAGGGCATGTACCTTGGTTGCGGGCACATCCCCAGTGGGGGGTGTGCAAGAGGCAGCTGATCAATGTTTCTAACTCTATTCCTCTCTCTTCCTCTCTGTAAAAAAAATCAATAAAATATATTTTAAAAAAGAAAAGAAAGAAAACAAATGAATGGATACAGAGTTCAAAACCACAGTTATAAGATTTTTCAAGAATTTCCTAGAAAAGGCTGATAAATTTAATGAGACCCTCGAGTATATGAAAAAGGACCATCTAGAAATTAAACGTACACCAACTGAAATAAAAAATAATATACAGAGATCCAATGGCAGACTAGAGGATCCCAAGAACTAAGTCAAAGATTTGAAATTCAAAGAAACAAAAAACACTCAACTGGGAAAGCAAAAAGAAAGAAAGAAAGAAAGAAAAAAAAAAAGAATCCAAAAAGTTGAAGATAGTGTAAGGAGCTTCTGGGACAACTTCAAGTGTACCAACATCAGAATTATGGGGATCTCAGAAGGAGAGAGAGAGCAAGATACTGAAAACGTATTTGAAGATATAATGACAGAAAACTTCCCCCACCTGATGAAAGAAATAGACTTACAAGTCCAGGAAGTACACAGAACACCAAACAAAAGGAATCCAAAGAGGACCACACCAAGACACATCATAATTAAAATGCCAAGAGCAAAAGACAGAGAGAGAATACTAAAAGCAGCAAGAGAAAAGCATTTAGTTACTAAAAGGGAGCACCTATAAGATTGTCAGTTGAGCCGAAACCAGTTTGGCTCAGCGGTAGAGCATCGGTCTGCGAACTGAAAGGTCCCAGGTTCGATTCCGGTCAAGGGCATGTACATTGGTTGAGGGCACATCCCCAGTAGGGGGTGTGCAAGAGGCAGCTGGTCGATGTTTCTCTCTCATCGACGTTTCTAGCTCTCTATCCCTCTCTCCTCCTCTCTGTAAAAAAAATCAATAATATATATATATGTTTATATATATATATATATATATATATATATATATATATATATATATATATATATAAAGATTGTCAGCTGATTTCTCACAGAAACTATGCAGGCTAGATGGGAGTGGATTCAGTGAAATATAGCAAGAACCTACAACCAAGATTACTCTACCCACAAAGCTATCATTCAGAATTGAAGGGCAAATAAAAAGCTTCACAGATAAGAAAAAGCTAAAGGAGTTCATCAACACCAAACCGGTATTATATGAAATGCTGAAAAGTATTAAGAAGAAGGAAGAAGGAAAAAAAGTAAAGTTAAAAATTATGAACAACAAATACATATCTATCAACAAGTGAATAAAAAATCTGAGGAACAGAATAAACTGGTGAATATAATAAAATCAGGCGCATAGAATGGTAGAGGGTTGATAATTCTCAGTGGTAAAGAGGTATGGCGGAGTATGGGAAAAGACTGGACAAAAATCATACACCTATGGATGAGGACACTGAGGGGGAGGTAAGGGCAGAGGGTTGAGTAGGAACCAGGTGGAGGGAAGCTATGGGGGGGGGGGGGGGGGGAAGGAAGAGGAAAAACACTTGTAATAATCTGAATAAAGATTGAATTTTAAAAAATCAAGTTCAAAGAAACATGAAAATTAGAAATGAAAGAATAATTCTGAGTCTTTTAGACTTTAAACTCCTTCCTTTTCATACTATCTAGTCCCATGGCTGGCAAACTGTGGCTCTTTGGCCCCTTGAGTATGGCTCTTCCACAAATTATGGTCTGGGCAAGTCCATTTTGAAGAAATGGCATTAGAAGAAATTTAAGTTTAAAAAATTTGGCTCTCAAAATAAATTTCAATCGTTGTACTGTTGACTAATGAGTTTGCAGGCCACTGATCTAGTCCATACTACATACAATTAACAATTTAAAGATAATCCTAAAAAATTCACATAAAATTTAAGCCCAAAAGATTTTACCAAGTTTCACAGTCAAATGCTATCTATATCTATCTGAGTTCTTCTGAAAAGGCAATTAATGATGACATTTAGGCAAAGCCAAATTTCATTTCATTTGTTCAAACAAATATTTGTGAAATGAAAAGGACAATGTAATACTAAAAATTATACAAATTGAAGAGGAAAAACTGGTCTAACCACAAGATCCAGAGTAATAAGCTATGCCACCTAAAAAGCAAAATTCTCTAACAAATTTATCATAAACTTGTCAGGAAAGTGAAAATACAACAAAGAACTACTTTGATCTGTAAACTGACCCAAACCCAGAATTTACATTGAATCTCTGCTTTAGACAACACACCTTCTACCCTAGGTTTTGCTCCTATCAGTCCAAGTTGCTCCTTTCTCAGTGTCTATACTCTTCTACTATGGCAAGTCTAAAATGTTAATATTCACACAGATCCACCCTCTG